AGTGTCTGGAGTTAGTGTGGCCCTCAGAACCCCATGGCAGCCACCGGGCAACGCAGCTTTGGGCCAATCCCCGACCTGTCTGGGAGGTAGCGTCCTCTTTTGTCAAAAGCCTGCCTGAGCCTCTTGCTGGCTCTAGCTAATGTGGTTTCTGTGAGCATAAGGATGAAAGGAGAGCCCCCAGCAAACAGAGATGGCGGGCGCTTAACCCAGAGCAGATTTTCCACCCAAGCCCTGGGGCCCAGCTGGAGCCACTTTAAATTCCAGCCATTCAGCCCTCTGTGTTTACACAGCTAAGAACCTGTTGTATTTAGAGCCTTGATCTTGAGGCTGGGACCAGGGAGGCGGGGTCAGGGCAAATATTGGCACTGACTGCTGGGCTGTTCCTTCTGGCTGTTCTGAGGCCTGGCGCCAGGGGTGGATCAGCTTGGCCCAGGCCCCAGGCCTGTATCTTCCTGGAATGCCTTATAGAGAATTGTGTGGGTGGTGGCTATGGCACCTTCTCCTTTACGAAGGGCAGGACCAATAAACAAGAAAGGAACAAACACCAGCTACCTCCCTGCACAGCTTCTGTGGCACCTGCCAGGCTCCAGCTTCCCACCTGGGGCGACCTGGCTGAGACAGCAAGGCTTCAGGACCGTGACAGTAGCCTCTGGACTTGGGCCTGTCCACCCGGAACTCCTGGCTCTTAAAAGTTGTGTGATTTTAGGCAGGCAACTGCATCTCTCTGTGCTTCTGGGAAGTGTGAGCAACTATCCCAGGTCCAGGAGTGGGGGTGGGGGTGGAGATGGGAGAATACTGGGAGAGGCTGATGGGAGAGCTTACAGGAGCGTGCAGCGGCAGGGTGAGGTGCTCACAGCCCCACCGCTAACGCTCATGAGAGCCACAGGTCCACTCTAGGCATCCCAGTCTTCACACAAACCTTTACACATGTCCCTCCTCTCAGTGAGCCTGCAGAGTAGTCTGGGCTGGCTCCTTAGTCCCCAGCCTTCTTCCAAGTCCTCTTCACATGAGGAAACCCAATGTATTCTTCCTGCTGAAAACAAACTGTGGCCTGAAGCCAAGACCCCTCTGCAAAGCCGGCCCTAAGGCTGCTCTGCTCTCTTGAGACACTGAGATTACCGCGCTCCTCCAGCGGCCAGGCGCTCCTCTGCTGGTGCTCCTCCAGCAGCCAGGCGCTCCTCTGCCGGTGCCCTGCTCCTCCAGCGGCCAGGCGCTCCTCTGCCAGTGCCCTGCTCCTCCAGCAGCCAGGCGCTCCTCTGCCGGTGCCCTGCTCCTCCAGCGGCCAGGCGCTCCTCTGCCAGTGCCCTGCTCCTGCC